TGTCCCTGGGGGGCAGCTGGCAAACAGGCTCCTAACGCCGAAAGCCAGCCCGGCGGCCACCGGCCAGCTGTCTTCCTTATTTTAGGAACCGGCTTTTCCGGCAGCTCAGACTGGTTTGAAAAGCCAAGTTGTGACACTCGTTTATGAAACCCTTCTCGCCTTTCAAAATCCTCTCATATCTCCGCGGCGGTGCTGGCAGCCTTGTAGTTCGCTTGTGGCTCGGGTGGAAGCTGTCAGGGAGGTGCTGGCGAAGGGCAGGTGTCGGCGCGGCTCAGGGCTCCGGGAGCCCTTCGTCGCTGGCGCTCGGCTGGAGGATGCACCGAAAAGGGTTGAGTCACGCCGGCGGTGGGAAGGCAGCGCTCCAGATCCCGCACCGCAAGAGAGCGGTGTCGGAGTCGTGCAGAAGGCGCTCACGGATAGAGGGGGGACCAGCTGCCCTCGGCGTTTTGTCTGGTGTTTCTTTTGAGGCGTGCTGTCTGTGTAACACCTCTGTGAAAGGGTGTTTTATTGGAAATGCTGGCATGCTTTTCCTAATCTGCCGTGCAAGGAAGCGTTGCTACAGGAATGGGAGTCAACAGAGGGGAAGAAAGTACATCGGTATGCATACCGCCAACTTTTTCAGTGTAAAGTGTACCTCAAATTGTTTTTTGGTCATAGACCCTGAGCAGGTGAAGATCGCTCTTGGTCTATTTGGAGCTTCGTCTTTACAGGGAAGAACTTCCTTCCTGAAGTTTGATGGGAAGCCCTGCTAACAAGGAGGGAAACAGGACGGATCTAATTAAATATTGGCAGCATTTAACTGGATGTTTATTGATACTGAGAAATAACAGGCCGTCAAGGAAAGCTTCTATGATGTAGGAAAAATCTTGATACAGTGCCAAAGGAAATTTGCCCCTGAGTATAAGTTCAGCTAAACACTTCCTATAAAAATCTAAAGTCAGTGCAAAAGTTTTTTGTGTGTTAGAAACAGACGTCTTCTCTGAAAAGTTTAAACAAATAACTGTTCCCCAGTAGCTTCCAAAAATTACAGGATTACAGCAGAGCTAATTGCTAAACAAAGGTGAAACAGACTTCTTCCTGCCCCAAAAATAAATAGAGAAATGCCAAGATTTTTAAAGGTGTTAATCTTTTAATTGGTGCAAATAACTATGCTTTTAAAAATCCAACTCCAAGGGCTTTAGGCCTTTCATAAAAGTAGTGATTGTATACACAACCACATATGTACCATTTTGACTTACAATCTGCGGTTGGCAAACTATGAAAAAGACTTCTAATGTCCTTTGGTGTTAATAGTGAGCCTTAGCTTGCTGTCAAATTTGTTCATAAAGAGCATAAGTATTGAAATCTTTCACATCTCTGAGGCAGTAATTTGAAGGCCAAGGAACCTCCTCTTGACCCTTTTCTTGTGCATCATTAATGTAGCTGGCAAAAAACCCCCACCTTCCAGTCACTGAAACTTAGTTTCTTGTATATGTATTGGGTTTATTATTTGACTATAGGTGATGCCATGCTTTCTAGCCGGATGGCTAGTTATTACTGGTGATATAACTTGAGTTATGAAAGTATGTTTAAAAAAAAAAAGGAATTCTTTATTACATTCCTGTTTTTTGTAACTCAGCTGGCCATCAAGCTGCAAAGGAGGAATACAAAAGCTACAAAGATACTGTTTATAGTTTTAGTCACTTATTTGAAATTCTGATTCCGGAAGTTTTAAAACATCAGATGTTTCTTTTTTGTACTTCTTCTGTTCCCTGATCACCTTTTTATTTCTTCCACAGTTGTAATTTCTGTTTTTAAAAGCATCTTCACAGTGACTTTGGCATATTTTCAAAATAGAAAGTGTTATATACTCGTTACTACTGAACATTGCTCATTTAGTTTTTGAAGTTAGTATCTCCATGCTGTCTTCAACTAGGTCCTCATTTTTAGGTCCTTTCCCTGCAAGCTGTTTCTAAATTTTATGTATGTTTTCAGTGTGACATCTCGGGGATCCATCTGTTCTGTACTTTTGCACCATAACCCCCCCCTTTTATTCATTCTTGCCACTTTTCAGTTTCATGCATTGTTCGTTGTGCTGATCTAGAAAAAGGTAGACTTTCCCAAAAGACATCTGTGTGGAATGGCCGAGACACAACTTTCCTGCCCAGATATTTTGATTTTTGTCAGTGTATTCTTTAGAGAGCTGTCTTTTCTTTATTGTGTTCAACTCTGAAGGCTCTTTGTGGCCATTGTGTCCCCTCTACGTTGTTCGTCTACTAGTGGGACGGTGGCTGTTGCCTCTGGTCTGTTAAAGCAGAGCTTACTTCTTATATTTGCAAGATACCAAAACTTGAAAATAAAAAACCCAACCAAACCCCACTTTTTGTAACGAGGAGGTGTTTATTTTCAGCTCGTGGAAAACTGATTACTTTGACCTTCTTTTCAGCCTTCTTCCCATCTCTCATGTTTTGTAGTGAAGGACTCATCTGTTGTAAACAGTAGTCACGCTGCCCCATTAGTTTTTGTCTTCATTCTTTGTGTTTAACTGGCTGTCTGTTAGCAGTTGGTCTGTATTTGGGTGGTAAGATCCTATTGCTCTGTTTCTAATGATGCTTGAGTTGTTGGTGTTGAGATCTTGGCGTCTAGGTGAAGAACAGGGCTTTGCAGGCATTTCTGTAGCTCGGGTAGTACAGTTACTTTTTCTCTTACTCCCAGCTCAGGAGCAGAGATATTTACTTGTCTGGGATGCATTGCATCTCATGCCTTACCTATAATTTTCTTTTTTACATTTATAATTGCAGGGCTCGCTAGATAGCGTATTTATTCAGATGGATGCTGAACTACAGCTCTGCTTGTGCCCTCCCTGTGGGGTTGAAGGGAGCGCGTGTGCCTCTTCCTGGGCGCAAGGTCTGCTTGTGCGGAACTGATGGCGCGATGGGAAAGAAAGGTTTTATGCCCTATGAAGTCAGGAGTCATTAAATTTTACGGAGTCATAAAATAGCTGTCACACTTCTTTAGAAGTAAACAATATTACTGTCCTGTATTGCACTGTATTCTGTTTCTAGCACTAAGAGTTGTTTGATAACAAGGGCTTTGGCCTTCTTATCTTCTCATGCTTGTGTCTTGTTTGTTGCTTCAGGACCTTAATGTGTTTGGACAATAGTGCTCTTCTGTAGTATTTAAATCTGTGCTGGGAAAACTGTAAATCCATATTTGTTCAGACTTTCTCAAGGCTTAACATATTTTTCAAAGGTTTAATTTATTCTGAATTTAAAACTGCTGCAAAGAGTATCATAACTGAATGGAGTGTAGCTATAGACAGATAAATGACTGTGCAAAAATGATACGGTAGCGATCCATATTTATACCCTGCCATTTTAATGCATTAGCTCAACTCATTCATTATATAATTTTCTATTTCTTTTCAGAAAACAAGCTGCGGTCGTTGTCGTCCTTTTTGTTGTTAATGATGTTTCTTTATATTAGCTCGCGGTTTTGAGAAAAGAGACAATGACATTATGAAGTTCAGCATATTACTTCTACAACTCTAGTGCTAGTAGTAGGAACGTATGCTTCTCTGCAAAGTAAACAAATACAACTCGTGACAGCTGGGAAAGAAATACGCTGGGTGAGAGGCTAATTTTGCATCAGTCTTTCAACTCCAGGTATGCCTTTAAGGGTCAAATGTTAATTATGTAAAAATACATATGCAGGAGCCTGTGTGAAAAATTACTTTTCCCGTGGCATTCATAAGTCATTCTTTTGCTCCCCTGTATAGTCCAACTGAAACCAAAGAGCATCGTTCTGAATCTTTCCTTAGTTCACAAAGTCTGAGTTGTTCAATGTGTTGTGATTTATTTTTTTTTATGGAACGTGATATAACAGTGGCCTGGGAGCCTATCTTAAATGTGTGTGAACCTATTTGAACATGCAATGATCAATTAAAAAAATATTCCCAATCCCCCATTCTTTATATGGCTGGTGAAGGATGTTTAAATTATATTACAGCCTTGAAAGATAAGTTAATTGCATTTATGGTCTTGGTTTCCATAACGTCCTTGCAAATTTGTATTAAATTTTTGTTGCTAGACTGTACTACTTTGCAAATGGATGCTATGGGGTGTTTCTCCCAATCTTGAAAGTTACTTAATGACCTCTTTCCTTCCCACTCTTCTTCCCTGTGCATGCCACTCACCAGAAAATGCCACCTATTTGTACTAAGCTTTCTAAATCTAGCTTGGAATTGTGCTTTCTCTTTTAAAGGGAGCACATTGTTTTTTGAAATGTTAAAAGGATTTTACCAGGTAGTGTTTAATAATTTCTGTCTTGTATATTGCACGTAATAAGACATGCCACGCAGTGCGTTTTAGTGTGATTATAGCATGTCTGAAGTGTTTCATAAAGCAAATACTTTAATCAACCACGTAGTAATAACATTGTACTTTTAATATAAGCTTTCATCCTGGAGGTTTTAATAATCTCCAATTTGTAGTGCTAGAACTAGCAGAACTTAGTATGCAAATCTCATTGTGAAATGCAGCCAACTCTGGGGTGAAATGTGATGGGCGATTAACAATGCACAGTAGTGTTGTATAAGAAGTTGTGATATAAGGTGAAGAAAACATTGTGCTAATTGTCACCGAAGATTCTTGGTTTTGGGACGAAATGATTCGTTAGGTATGCTGAAAGCATGCGCTCAGGTATTGCAAAAGTGGAGGCATATGCTGTCTGTCTAAAGAGATGGTTGGACCATCTCTTAATGCCGTTGCCCAGGCTACCAACTTTTGTTTAGGTTCTCCCTCTGCTCTCGTGTCTTTCTGTCCAAGGCTATGTGAAGGCACATTCTTCAGTTTTTGGAGCTGAAGAGTGGAACAAAAGGCTTCCATTTCTTGTAAAGGATTAGTAAAGAAGTGCATATCCATTAATGCTGACACTTTCTCCATTTCAAAACATCCCATTTCTACTTGTGGATGTAGATGTTGGGACAGATAGGGGTCCAAGTTCTCAGGCTTTCTAGAACAGCTGCCATACAAAGGCCTTTCTATCATGTTCAGATTTCTAAAGCCTTTTTAAAAATTCCTCTCAATAAGAAATTGATTTTTATATCGTTAAAGTTCAGCTCCTTTGTGGAAGAAAGCTTTGACACCTGACCTCTTCATGTTCCCTTATGTAGACATATGTGTATATACATCTTCTTTGGATTGTTTGTTTTTGCACAGAATGGATTCACAAGTGAGCCTTACCTCTGGGTTGCATGATTGTGGTTTATGGATTGCATGGAAAGGAACTCTTGAACTATATAAACCAAAGAAAACTGTTTATAACATTAGATGCAATATTCTAACTTGTCTGCCTTACTGAGAAACTTGGCTACACCTTACCAATTGTTTTAGATATTATTCCTCCGCCTGTCAATGCACACAATCCACGTCTTCGTTAATGGAGTTACTAAACTTGCGTTTCAGAGCTGTCCTGCAGGACGTGTGTTTCTGCAGGGCAGCGCTTCAGAGATCACAGAACAATTTGGGTGGGAAGGGAGTCAGGGGCTCTCTAGTCTGAGCCCTGCTGTGAGCAGGACCAGCTTGGAGGTCAGGAGCAGGCGGCTCAGGCATGGCCTCACGCTGGAGAAGCTTTTCCATATGTTGAGTGGGAACCTCTCTTGTTCGAGTTTTTGTGTCTTGTCCTCCCACTGTGTGCTGCTGGGAGCAGCCTGGCTTCTTCTTTTTGATGACCTCCTCATAGCTGGTGGTGGGGCTGCTGTTAGGCCCCACTCCTGCCCTTGAGTGTATCAACTGGTCCTCCCAGTTCGATGTCATATGAAAACTTGATGAGCGTGCACCTGTGGTCCATGCTGGGATGTGCCTTGTTTAGTCTCTGTATCAGTGACCTGGAGGAGAATGACTAATGCCTTCACTTTGACATGCTTTGCATGTGCATCGTATTCTTTGCTTATACCCTTTTTTGCCTCTCCTGTTACTAACTGGGAGAGCTTGCGTCACCTTGCCTATTGTTTTTGTATGCTGTACTAGAAAGAAACTATATTGTGTTTTTATTTTCTTTAGAAACATAAAAAAGTAAAACTTAAACAGCTAAAATAAAAAAGACACGGGAGTAGGAAAACCAGTGTATGTTGATCACTTAACTGATGACCCCAGAGAAGGCTGGAATGAGGAGAGATGGTCCTCTCCTTACTGTTGGCAGCCCCGATAGCTTGCTGCTTCACCCCTCCTCACTTCCCTTTGACCAGTCTTCAGAACCTTTCTAAAATTGAACTCTATGTCACTGGGAGTTAAGTCCTTAATCAGTAAACTTGACCTTTTTATTACATTTTTTTTATTTGATTAGTAATAAAAGGCTGTAATATTTATGAAAGTTGGAAATAGAACATTCTTTACAAAACAAAGCAGGAAAGTATACTTAATTTTCAAAGTACGGAAAAGCCTGCGTGCTGCGGATGTCTTATAAAAGGTTATATAGCTGATTTGTCTGAAAAAAAAAAAAAGAGGATATATTTGAGAAAAAAAAATCTAAAACAAATAAGATTTTGGAGACGCCAAGATCTAGACACTAAAACTATTTATCTACTTCTGTCCCTCTCTCTCTAGATTTCAATCTATATATTTAAAAACCTGTTTCTTTTATCCCCTTATATTAAATCAAAAAATCCTTTATAAAATTACAAGTATTTCCAGATGGGCTAAAATACTGCAGTAGCATTACTTCATCCCATCTGCAATTGTCATCATGGAATTGGATAATGAACTTTTATTCTTTGTTGAAACTAGGATTGCGTATCCGTATTAAGATAACTTCTTTACTGATGTTTGCTTTGAGAATGCTAACTCTTCGGCCATCAGTCGAGTAGTGGCATGTTGGAGATGAGTAAGAGAAGTTAAATCTAAATGAAAGTCAGGGTTAAATAAGGATTGCAAGTTGTGATTCATCCATCCAGATTTTGAATCAAGTAGTGTTTCAAATTTATTTGCTTATTTTCTCTAAAGCTGTACTTTCAAATCAATACTGTTGTTTTGATTTCCAACAGATTCATAGGATTTTATTTTTATAGGTTGTCTTACTGATTAACATGGTTTAACTTTACCACAGGCTTGACACTTGATTTTTATTTTTATCTTTTCCGAATCAAGGCAGCATACCTGCTTGTGCGCTTATTGTATCAACAGCGTTCTCACTCTTTAGTTTTCCATCTTTCAAATATTTAAGGCTTGTTCAGATTGTAGACAAGTTATCAAGAAAGTAGTATGATACTAGTTTACTACTCCTGAAACTGTTTAGGCTGTAATTTCTAGTGTTTTCCAATTTGATATAGAGACCTAATTTAACATCAGTATGAGTGATATAAGGGCAGAGTTTAGTCTAATTCTTGTGTTGAGCATTCATGAGGGGAAGTGGTTTAAAATTCTGGCCTTTGCTTCTGATGTTTGCTTGCTTTTTGATGTATGAGAGTCTTGGATAAAAGCTTTTGTTGAAGTGTTGCACTGAAAATTATATAATTGCTTGTCAGCTTGTTTACTTCATTACTCTTGTGGAGGGAAAATACTTTTGTATTCCAGCAAGTAGAAGAGAAGCTTCATGGATACCTACCATGCTTTATTAAATGCAGTCTGCGGACACTAATTTTTCTCTCCTCCCTCTCTTTCAGACTCCAGGTAGAGGTGGGTCTCAGAGCTCAGATTCGGATTCATCTGCCACACCAGGAAATGCCGTGGACGTGAACAACGAAGGTTCCTCCGAGGTACTGTGCAGCATACGTGGGACTGGAGTCTTAAACCTTGGGTGCTGTTTCTCTAATTCATGAAGCTGTTGGGAGTAACTTTTTTGGTGCCCTACCTAAATAACAGCTGTACTAAAGAAGAATTGGTTGTTATTTTCTCTTCTAAGAATCGGTTGTTATTTAAATAAAAATAAGGGCATAAAAGCCATATAAATATGCAGCTCTTAATTAGGTTTATCTATCTAAATGGTCACAAGCAATCCTTCCTGCAATCCTAGAGATGAATTATTAAAATTAAAAGCAGTGAGACACAAGCTTAAGACTCCTCATTAATAAATCTTTTATGAGAGTTCCGAAAAATGGGGCTTAACATTTTGTGACGCTTGTACTCCCTTTTCATCTTTCTTCTACTAAGCTATAACGTATACTGGAAACCAGCTCCTCCTCATAAAATATCAAACGTGTTGGCTTTTGTTTGGTGTTGGCATGTAAATCTACCACTTCTAAATCCTATCAATTTTTTGTGCTGTATGCCATACTTAACCAGCAGAATAAGTTGTTATTCTTGCTTCAATCCCGTATTACAATGTCTTTGGATTTACAGTGTTGTCAAATATTAACTGAAAAATGCAAACTGACTTCACTGGCTGTTGAAGCTAGTTTGTGCTAATGTAGCCTGATTACCTAGCTTGGAAATGTTTCAAGCTTAGCATACAAATGCAGTGTAAGGTTAATTACTCCTGTTACAGCATTAAAGGGAGCAAAGTGCCCTTTCTTACACTGAATAAAGTGTATGACGATTCAAATACTCCTATGTTTGCTATGATAAAAGATAAGAGAATTTTTCACTGTGCTGTTTAAAATCCTAATTGCCTTCCATCTGTGCATCTGCTTATTTCCTGAAGCCTTATTACAGTCAGTATAATCAGACATTCCTTAATATTTTGCTGCATGTTATACGTCACGCATTTGTGAGTCCAAATCTGTTTTGTATGTATATTTACACTGTCCCTGAAGCAAATAAATATTCTAAAATCTCATTACTTTTGTAGTTAATTAAGGCATAAAAATATGCAGTGAGATAATCGCTTCCTTCCAAAGTTTGGCTAAAATTGCACAATTCTGCTAACATGAGTGCATTATCATGTACAGCTGGTGGATGTCACAAGGTACCTCAATACTAATGTAGTAGTATTTTCCTGACATAGCATGAGCTTTCAAAGTGGTAGTGTGCCTGCACTATTGCACCATTGGCTTTTCTTGCTACTGAGTTGAAACTGGGTCAGACCAAAGGCTGCTGTGTCACTTTTGGTTGATACTTTCTCACGTTATACGGTATCTTTTACTTGTCAATAATTTCACTATCTGTTGCATTAGTTACAAGTGGGGTGTTCTGCTTAGCATATCATTTCAAAATCTGTTTGAAAGTAAGCTCTGAAGCTGGTGATGGGTTTTTATTCTCCTGAGATTCACACGTTACAGCACGCAGCTTGAGCCTTTCCATTGGTCTTCCTTTTCCTGCGCAGCTGGCCTAAGGTGTCTCTCTGAGAACTTCTCTCCAGGAGCACCGTAGCCAGACTTTGCAGAATGTTTACTCTCCATTTTATCATTATGTTCCCACCAGTTGATTTGTTTTCACTCCAGTTTCTTGGCTAGATCTTCTAATTTGTATTGCTGCAAGATTCAAATGGAGAATAATTATTAAATCTGTGCAGATTCTCATGTTTCCTACCTCGTCAAGCCTGGTTGAAATCAATCCTGATTTTTGAGAATTGCAGTATGAAACAAAAGGAGTGGGGAAGTCTGAATTCAAACTGTTCCTTGCTCAAGGAGAGGTGAAAATCTGTTTTAGTCCCGTCTGTGGCCATGTCAGCACTTCAGATCACACATGGACCTGTAATCAAGTCTAGATACTTCTTTTATTCACTGTGCAATCTGCCCAAGGAGGAAACATTTGAGCCTATCCTACCTTTGTAGCTTAGGTCCCAGTGCAACTCTGTCTGCAATACAGGGTTGCTAATACTCCATGCTTGCAGTGAGTCTACTAGCGTGCTTATGCTTTCATTAGTGTAATGTGGCTGTGTTAGCTAGACAGGTTTGCCACAGACATCCTTTTTGGAAGGGGCCTTAACCTTTCCATGCATGCACGAAGGGTTGTGTTCAGTCTGCTCTCCCTGCCTCTGTAGTGCTCTGCCATGGAGGTGCAGGCATCCTCCAGCCACCAGTGTGGAGAGAGGCACAGAGCACTTTACTCTCCACCCTGCTTTTTCCTGGTGTTTAAGCACGTAGTGTCTGTCTTGAAGATGTAAAGCTGTTGTTCTTCAGAAACCGATTTAACTTTTGGCTTTGGTAAATCTCTGGTGAGCATGCTGAGGTTTTTTTTTAAATTCTACCCAGGAAGGTGCATATTTTTTGCTAAGTGAGCGTGCCAGCCAGATGTGCAGCTGCACTGGCACCTAGGCCTCTCCCGCTGCCGCAAACTTGCAGTAATTTGCAGAGGTATTTCTGCAATCTCACCACACCACCCTTGCCTCTCTCTCTGAAACATCTGAACACCCTTATGGGAAACTGTGTGGTGGATCTGACGTGATGCCTTATAATGGTCCCTTCACAATTTGTTATGCAGCTTATTCCTCTGTCACATGAAGGGGGTACCAAGAGTGTCTGGAAAACACATAGTAGTATGCAGCATGATGCTGGCTTTTAAAGTGTGTTTTAGATTTGTTTATTTTCATGTTCTTAATAACTGTTCCTTCTTGCCTTCTCCATGGTATTATGTGGTTTGCAAAAACTATCTTTCCAAAAGGAAAACAAACTTTGCTTTTGGTGATTGTAGAGAACTTTCAGCATAAGAATTTGAACAGCATTTGAGTCCAAATCTGCTTTTTTGTCTTTATTAGTTTCTTAAAAACAAATATGCATTTCACAGGGCTTCATCTGTCCACTATGTATGAAAGTGTGTGTAACTCCCACTGATCTGTCTGAACATTACCAGAATGAGCACACTGGGACAGAAGGAAGACAGGAGCTTCGTGACCTCCCAGCTGTTACTGTGGGTCTTGTTTATTTTGTTTCAATAGCTTTGGTAATGGGCTGCTTTAAATGAACATACATCTTTTCTTATAGCTTGGGTGACGGCTTTTCAAATTGTTTCTTTTGATTCCTTGCTGAAATGTAATTTGATCTCTTATGCATGATTCCAAAGTGTACATTCAGCAGAAGAATTAATCTGTGTCTAGCTTTCTGGTTTGCAGTTGTCTCTCACATGAAACATTTGCAGTATTGGGAGACTTGCTGTCACTGATGTATTCTTTCTGAACAGCTTTTGCTTGATATTCTTGTAAATAAGGCTATTACATTATTTGATTTACTTCACTTCAGACTCAGTGTAGTGATAAATGCAGTGTCGGATCTGGTACATCCTTTGTGAAAAGAAATGTTTCGAGCTCTTATTAGCTAACTATTTTTAAAATGGATTTCTAGTGGGAGATAGGTACGTTGGGTAAAAGATGGAACAGAGGACAGGAATATAAAAAAAACTAGAAGCTTCTCGAACATGTTTAAGAGCCTTACATATTGCAGCAACATTTTAAAAAGAATTATAAAAACAATTTTTTAATATAGAATTTTATTGGAATTTTTTTTATGCCCCAAACAAAATGCAAAGGCTGTTTCAGTTAATAGACATTATAAGTAGTAGTGCATTTCTAAATTCTTCCAATTCCTTATTTTAATTGTGCAGTTTTACACTCCTCAATTGGAAGAATTTAGATTCTGTAAGGTAACAGCCCCCAGCTGCACAAGGCTATCTGAATTTTTTCTGCTGTGAACCTTCAGAGAATATACTTGACTTTTGGGGGCCGGCAGCTTGCCATGCACTAAATGGGTTTGTATGGAGGTGAAGTTTTGCATTCTTTCTGCCAACGTTACTTTTGTTGAGTTTTGGAATCAAAGTGTTTATTCTAGGCTGTGTGAGCGATGTAATTTTGTTGTGTTTGCTGCTGTATGCATTTGCT